GACTCTTTGGGTTCAAATTCCAGTTCTGTAACTTATCAGTTCTGTGTCGTTGGCAGCTTGCTTAACCCCTCTGTGCCTTAGTTTTCTTATCTGAAGTAGGGACAAAATAGTACTTGCTTCAAGTCCTTCCCATGGTTGTTGTGAGCATTAAATGAGTTACTACATGTTAATCACTAAGAAGAATGCTTTTCATGAAATATAAAGTAAGTTATTACAGTATATTGCAACGCTATTGTGAAATCAGATTTCTATTTTTAGAGAAGTTCTGACATAATGTTTCTTTTCACTAATTGTCCTAGTTTCCTAATGGAAGTTGGCTTTCTAGAAAGTAACAAATAATTGATACAAGATAATTATGGTGTTGATGACTTTTAAAAATAATATTCTAATCAGAATATGAACAGCGTTCTAATTTAAGTGACATAATATTGTTCAAAAATGTCTTGGTGTAGATTGTTTTAACAGCTCTTTTGAGCTCTAATTGAAATACAATAATCTGTATATAATTAAAGTATACAATTTGATTAGTTTTGATGAATATATATACACTCACCTATGAAACCACCACAATTGAAGCAGTAAATATATCCATTACCTGCAAAAGTTTCCTCATGTCCCTCAGTGATCCTTCCTTCCCACTCGTCCCTGCCCCATTACAAGGCACTGCTGATATTTTCTGTCACTCTATATTTGTTTATAATTTCTCGAGCAAGCTTGTCCAATCTGCTGCCTGTGGGCCTCATGCAGCCTGGGATGGCTTTGAATGAAACCCAATGCAAATTAGTAAACTTTCTTAAAACATTATGAGCTTTTTTTGCAATTTTTTTAGGCTTATCAGCTCTGGTTAGTGTTAGTATATTTTGTGTGTGGCCCAGGACAATTCTTTTTCTTCCAATGTGGCCCAGGGAAGCCAAAAGATTGAACACCCCTGTTCTAGAGCTTAAAAAATGCTGTGTATGGAATCATACAGTGTATACTTTTTTGGTGGTCTGACTCTTCATTCAGTAAAATTATTCTGAGATACAGTCATACTATTACTTGTAACAATAGTTCATTTCTATTTATTGTTGAGTAGTAGTCTGTTGTATTTATAAACTACAATTTGTTTATCCACTCACCTGTTGATATACATTTGTGTTGTTTCCAGTTTGGAGCTATTAAGTAAAAAAGCTGCTATTCAAATACAAGTGTTTGTTTATTTATTTATTTCAGTTTTTTTTTTTTTTTTTTTTTTTTTTTTTTGAGATGGAGTCCTGCTCTGTCACCAGGCTGAAGTACAGTGGCTAATCTTGGCTCACTGCAACTTCCGTGTCCCGCATTCAAGCTATTCTCCTGCCTTACCCTTCAAATACAAGTCTTTATATGGCTATATGCTTTTCTTTATCTTGGGTAAATTACTAGGAGTAGAATGGCTGGGTCATGTGGTAGATGTCTGTCAAACTTTGTAAGAAACTGCCAAACTGTTTTTCAAAGTGATTGTACATTTTACTTTCCCACTACTATAGTATGAGAGTGCCAGTTGTTCCAAATCCTTGCCAGTACTTGCTATGGTCATTATTTTTAGTTTGAATCATCCCAATAGGTATGTAATAATTTCTCACTGTGGTTTTAATTTTCATTTTTCTGATGATTAAAGATGTTGACTATCATTTAATGTACTTATTTACCATTGTATATGTTCTTTTTCTTTTCTTTTTTTTTTTTTTTTTTTTTGAGACTGAGTCTCGCTCTGTCGCCCAGGCAGGAGCAGTAGCACGATCTCCGCTCACTTCAAGTTCCACGCCCTGGGCTCATGCCATTCTGCTGCCTCAGTCTACAGAGTAGCTGGGACTACAGGTGCCCACCACCACACCTGGCTAATTTTTTGTATTTTTAGTAGAGACAGGGTTTCACTGTGTTCGCCAGGATGTTCTTGTTCTCCTGACCTTGTGATCTGCCCACCTTGGCCTCCCAAAGTGCCGGGATTACAGGCGTGAGGCACGGCGCCCAGCCACGTATATATTTTTTGATGAAACGTCTAGTTAGACCTTTTGCTAATTTTTACATTGAGTTTTTTAAAAATTATTTTTGAATTTTGAGAGGTTCTTACATATTCTGGGTTTAAGTCCGTTATCAGACTTATGCTTTGCAAGGATTTTTCTCTCAGTCTGTGACTTGTCTTTTTGTTCCATTAATAGTGTTTTTGAATTGTAGTTTTTAATTTTCACAAAGTCCAATTTGCCAATCTTTTATTTTATGGATTGTGCTTTTGTTGTACTACCTAAAAATCTTTGCCTGACCCAGGGTCACCAAGTTTTTTTTTTTTTTCCTTGGAAATTTTGTAGTTGCAGACTACATTTAGGTCTCTGATGTATTTTTAATTACTTGTAACTGGTGCCAGATATATATTGAAGGTTTTTGTTTTGATTTTTTCCAAGTGGATATCCAGTTTAACCAGTACTTTTTTTTTTCTTAATACCTATTCTTTTCTCTCTGAATTAACCTTTGCATCTTTATTAAATTTCAGTTGTTTGTATGTATGTGGGTCTATTCCTGTACTTTTCATTGATCTATTCATGTATTTTGATTCTAATACTATTCATTTTTTATTACTGAAGCTTTATAACAAGTCTTGAAACCAGATAGTGCTAGCAGTTTTACCTTGTTCTTTTTCAGTGTTGTTTTGGCTATTATATACGTTCTTTGCATTTCCATATGGATTTTAGAAATTAGCTTGTCAAGTTTTACAGAAAAAACCTGCCAAGATTTTGGTTGAGATTGCATGGAATCTATAACTCATTTCGGGAAATGTTGATATCTTAATAAAAGTCTTCTATCTCTGAAAAAGTCTTTTTAAAGTAATATAGGCCTTTTGAATGTCTCAGCAATATTTGATAGTTTTCAGTAATCAAGTCCTTAATTAGATTTGTCCTCAAGTATCATATTTTTTATGCCTATGTAAATGTTTTTTTAACATTTCAGTTTCTTACTGATAGTTGTTAACGTGTAGAAATACAATTAATTGTAGATCCCATTGAATTTTCCACGTAGAGTAGCACACTTTTATTTCTTCCTTTCCATTCTGGATGCTTTTTATTTCTTTTCTATTTTTTTCTTTTTTCTTTTTTTTTGCTGGATTACATTGGCCAGAACTTCCACTATGATGTTGACTGAAAGTAGAAAAAGCAGACATTCTTGTGTTGTTCATGATCGTAGGGAGAAACTATCGAATTTTTTTTTTACCGTTGTCTTATATTACTGTAGTTTTTTCATAGACATTCTTGATCAAGTTGAGAAAGTTCCCTTATACTTTGCAGCATTTTTTTTTTTTAAACAGGAATGGATGTTGAGTTTTGTCAAAGGCTTTTTCTGTCTCTATTGGGATGTTTATATGGTTGTTCGTTTTTAGTTTGCTAATACAGTGAATGACATTTGATTTTTAAATGTTAAACCAATCCAACATTTCCAAACTAAGCACCAATTTTTCACGCTGTTGTATCCATTTATATATTGTTGGATTTAATTTACTAACATTTGGCTAAGGAGATTTGTGTCTAGATTCATAGAATATTAATAGTTTTCTTTTCTGGTAATATCTTTGGATTAGTATCAGTGTAATACTGGCCTCAAATAATGAGTTGGGAAAATATTCCTTCTTCAGTTTTTTGGCAGTTTGTATAGAATGGGTATTCTTCCTTCCTAAATGTTTTGTAGAATTTACCAGTGAAGCCATCTGTGCCTGGGAAACTTTTATAACTACAAATTTAATTTCTTTAATAGATACACAGATTTTCAGGTTGTTCTTATGCTTTAGTAATTTGTGTCTTTCAGAGAAGTTGTCCATTTCATCTCAGTTGTCAAGTAAATACAGGAACAAAGGTAAACGTAATAGTTCTTCAGTATCCTTTTAATATCTGCAGAATCTAATGTCATCTGTCTTGTTTATGATATTGGCGAAATTCTATTATTAAGGACACATGTTTTAGATTGTTATATACTTTTTGTTAATTGACCCCTTTATCACTGTGAAATGAGCACTTTTATATCTGGTAATGTTCTTTTTGCTATAATCTGTCTAGCGTTGAAAGAGTCGCTTCAACTTCTTAGTGCTAGCATAGTATATTTTCTCCTATCCTTTTACTTTTAACCTATTTGTGTCTTTTTATTTAAAATGCGTTTCTCATTGGCAGCATAGAGGGGGCCGGTCTTCCTTTCTTATCCAATCTAACAATCTCTGCCTTTCAATTGAAATGCTACACAATTTGCATTTAATGAGATTATTGATATGGTTAGATTTATGTCTGTCATCATACTTGTTTTTGAGTTGTCCCATGTGTTATTTGTTCTCTTTTCTTTGTTTCCTGCTGCCTTTTCAGTTGAGTAGTTTTTAATCTCCCTTCTTGTCTTATTGGTTGTGACCAGCCCTTACGCCTCAGAATATATGATTTAATGGACTTACTAGAGGTAGTCCTAGGTATTGGCATTTCTTTAATAGATTCCCGGATTTGTGAACCACTGGACTAAATGAGCTCCATGGTAACTTTCAACTTACTAGCTATGTGACTTTGATCAAGTTATGTGACCTCTCTTAATTCAATTTCCTCATCTATAAAATGGATATAAGGAAACATATTCATCTGCAAGTTAAAAATATTTAAAATATTTTAAATAGTATGTTCATGTGGTTCAAACTTCAAAAGGTACACAGAGATTTAATATATACTATTTTATACTTTTGATTTTTTGAATTGTAAATTTTTGTATTAATAGATTTAGGTAAAATATTTTCAAAAACTCAAAATGAGGGATTTTATCTTTACAACCACTGAAAACTGAAAAATCTGGTTTTTGAATTGTTAATATGATTTAAATTATAATTTTAAAATTTACTGTGTTATAGTTTCTAGAGAAAAGTAAAAACTATCTTAAATTTTTCTCAGTGCATAATAGGTCTCTTCAGGACAGGAGTATGACTTTTGAAATCGATTTACTGCATTTTTTGTTTTGTGCTTCTTCCACAGGTTTTGATTCCCACCATGGCCATCACCCAGTTTCGGTTATTTAAATTTTGTACCTGCCTAGCAACAGTATTCTCATTCCTAAAGAGATTAATATGCAGGTAAGTTTTATGTTCAAACTGACCTGTTTATCTCCTCGCTGGTTTTGGATACCTTCAAAACTTAGAATTTTGTGGACGGGACAGGTTATATTTAAGCTGAATATCTTGATTGCAGTATTTATTCATTAATTCCTAGTCATTTTTAAATACTTTTTCTCTACTTCAGATCTAGAAAATAGAGGTTCAGTTGTTTTTGTTCATTCAAATTCTTACACTTTCCACTAAAATAATATGCTTAATACTGTTTAGGAATAGACAGACCAACTTTCGTTGTTATAATCATCACAGAACTTTGATGTATTTGTTTCGTTATAGGAATGTTTTAAAGTGGTTAGGTGAACTTCAGAATAGATATTTCTGCCTATACTACAGTAGTGTTGTTTTTATATTAAAAAAAAGTTATTTTGTCTATTTAAGTAACATTCCAGAATATGCTAGTCAAGGGCAGGTAGGTCATTTGCTTTAGGACATCATCTGTAGACTTCAGTTCCTTCTGTTTTGTCACAGGATCATACCCGAGAGCTATGATTTCTAAAATGTGTGCTGAGGCACCTCAGGGCTTTACGTGAAATTCACAGGGATGCCATAGAATATTTTAAATTTTCCAGTGAAACATAGTGATAGCATCTGTTGAATACCTCAACTCAAAGTAGTTCATATTTGCAACATTAAATCCTGCAGTATTTTTTTATGATGATATTCTTTAATGTTTGAGATAGTTTTTGTTTACTTATATTTTTGGTGACATCTCGTTGCAAAGCCAGAATTTTAGGTTGTAATTAAAAGCAAGTACTGCACCAAAATTAATGTAGAACTGAAAACAAGAATGATGGTCTCCAGTCTTATTCTAAGGCATAAGAAGCTGTGCAGTGTTCAACAGGCACACACATTTCATTAATAAGTACAGTGATTGTGGTTATTTAAGAATAAAATAGAAATATGACGTTTTCTTTAAATGTGTATTTTTTACAATGGCTACTAAGCAGTTAGGACATACTTAAGTATTAAGATTTTTGGGTGTAACTACCTTATTTGGTGGAATTGTTAGGTGTTTCTGTGGCCTAAGGGTACTGTGAAAAAGTTACACACTGAGAGGAGGGTATAGTAAAAGAGGAAATGGATAGCAATCAGCTCTTTATATATATATAGAGAGAGAGAGAGAGACATGATTTAGAGGTTGCACACAACAATTTTTGCACTGCCTGCTTTCCAGAGCTTAGTCATATGGCCCCCTAGCTGCAAGGAAGGATGGGAACTGCAGTCTCTGGCTAAATGACCATTTGATAGCTGCTAAAACTCTGAGACTTAAGTGCCATTGAATTTATTGCTACAAGTAGAGTGGTCTGAGATTTAAAAAAAAAAAAAAAGTCCAGGGTATTGCAAGAGACCAAGTGGGTGAAATGATCATCCAGAGATAATCACTCGAGCAGAAGTCAAGAAAGAAATGGAAAATTTAGGTGGTTGACTTGAAATCACCCAAGAGGGTAGGATTTGGGAAGTAGAAAAAGGAGTGACCTAAGTGTTTAAATGACCAGAGAATGAGGAAGAGAATGGCCAGAAATTCACCAGGTAAAGCAACATTAAAAATGGGTATTAATTGCCAGAAGACAGGGAGTTAAAATAAGAAGCATTGTGTTAACAGTGGTGATGAAATATAGATGTTTTCTTTTTGCACTACTATTTTTTAAAATTTTCATTAAATAGATTACTTTTACGATAAGAAATTTTCTTGATGTAAAAATATGAAGAACATTCCTATTGTAAATGTATACATATTTAGAATTGATTGTATGTTCTATTTTAAAGAAAACTGACCATATGTTAGGATAAGTTTCTCTTTGGTGTCTGAAGGAACCTTAGACCACGTATTTTAAAATACCAGGCTTGGCCAGGCATGGTAGCTCATGTCTGTAATCCCAGTGCCTTGGGAGGCCGAGGTGGGAGGATAGCTTGAAGCCAGGAGTTCAAGACCAGCCTGGGCAACACAGCAGAACCCCATCTCTACTGAAAGGAAAAGCAGGCTTATGTCATAAATTTCATATTACTTTTTTATATTACTTTTCTATTCAGCCTTTAAACAAATATAGCTTTGAATCTGTAATAAAAATAGCTGACTTTATCAATTAGTTCTTATCGATGCTTTGTAGATTATTTGAAGTGAAGTAAGTGACTCATCATCTCTATTACCTGCCATTTTTTGTATGTTTTGCGATGTAGCAGGCACACACTGTCTAGGGATTTTAAATATGTCAGTTAATTAAATCCAAACAACCCTGCAAAAGTGGGTTTGAATACCTGCATTTTATAGATGATGAGGCTGTTGAGGCTGAGAAGTAGATAATTCTAACTAGACATAATAGAAGTAACATTGAAAACTGTGGTTTACAGATCCCACAGCACATGTTCTTAACAACTGAGTTATAGTACGTCCTGTTTAATGTGGTACTTCTCCTACTAATCCTTAAAACTAAATTACCGTTTGGTTCAAACCAGTGATTTAATTCTTAATAGTTAATCTTACCAAGAAACCCCATGTATAAAACATAAAAGCCAAGCCACCCTGTTTAAAACAGCAAAGGTGGCCCAGAACTTCACCCACAGAACCCATAGCACTCCAAGGAGCATGCTCTGAAACCATCTTGCATTTTTGTTTTTGACTTCATATTCCTCTTGAATTTGTTTATAATTCGAAGTCTTAAGCCAAAAAGCAGTTACGTTGTTCTGTTTCTGTCCAAGATTTAAAAAACATTCACAAGATGTCTGATTTATGACTTTTTTACCATAAATTAATGAGTAACTGTTAATTATTAAAATCAATAATCATAAAATTGAGAAAAATCTTGTTTTATAAGCCTTAAATTACCAGATACATAGTGCTTTTACTTTGCTTGTTTTGGTAGTTCTTGAAATAAATTATTTCATTTTTGTTTCAGATCTGGCAGAGGACGGAAATTAAGTGGAGACCAAATAACTTTGCCAACTACAGTTGATTATTCATCAGTTCCTAAGCAGGTAGGTTTTTCTTTGTTCTTTTGTTTTGTTTTGTTTTGTTTTTGAAAAATTGAGTAAGTGTCCTAGAACAATATATTAATAGAAATTACTTTGATTTTTGTTGTGTTGTTAAATTTATCTGGTCTGAAAATTCTATTTAGTTCTTCATTTTATCTTGTTTCTTTGTTGACATTTTCTATTTTGTTTTCATTGGTTTCAAGTGTTTGCTATTGCTTGTTGGAGCATTTTTATAATAGCTATTGTAAAGCCTTAGAGAATTCCAGCATATCATTTTGGTGTTGGTATCTGTTGATTAACTTACCTTGCAAATTAAGATTTATTGATTTTTATGTGCTGAATAATTCTGGGTTGTTTCATGAACATTTTGAATACTATGCTTTGAGACTTTGTCTTATTTAAATCATGTGGAGAAGCTTGGTATTTTTTATCAGATGATCAATCTGGTTAGGCTTAGGTGAAAATGTCCAGTCCTTCTATGGGTTGTAGTTTTAATGTCAGTTCAGTTTTCAGAACATTTGCTTTTGTTTTATTTGTTTTTTGTTTTTTAATAGACATAATAGAATAAAATAGAACATATCAGAATATCTTGTATTTTTTCAACTTTTGATCAAGTTTTGATCTGCGATATAAAATGTATATTTTCCTGTGGGTCAAAAATGTGTGAAAACCAGTGTTTTTGTAAAGTCCATTTTTCCAATAAATCATCAATGAAATGTTCATTAAGTTGCCCCTTTGTGGCTGATACTGTTGATCAATTAAATTTAGACAGATGTTGAAGAGTGGACTTCCTGGGATGAAGATGCACCCACCAGTGTAAAGATCGAAGGAGGGAATGGGAGTGTGGCAACACAACAAAATTCTTTGGAACAACTGGAACCTGACTATTTTAAGGACATGACACCAACTATTAGGAAAACTCAGAAAGTATGTTAAGATTTATGCTTTTGGAGATTAAACTACTTTTTGGATTCCTATAGTTAAAATTAGATTATACAATTCACATTTCTTAGAAAGCCTATTTCTAACTATCTGTTGTTTGTTTTCTGTCGTGTTAAGTAAGAATTTTATATGTTCAAATGACCTGGACATAGTTCTAGTAAGTTGTACCCCAAATCTTTTAAAATTATATTTATACATGTATCGAAATCCTACTATATGTCAGATTCTAGACTCCAATCTCTGCCATGGAGACTAAGGTGAATTGGATAAGAGTTCTAACAAGTTCATACTTTGGTAATATCTACAAACTGATAAGTGGATTTTATTGTTTGTAACCATTATAAAACTGATGGAGGACTCTAAGAACTTAAGAATAATTGTGAGTTTGTATTAGTCATCTATACATTATTTAATCTCTTTTGAATTGAATATGGAAGATCATTTAGAGATACAGGGAATTACTGGAAAAAGCAGAATGCTTGAGTATTTTCCTTTTCATTTATCAAAATACTACATGTACTTTTTTTAAATCAAAAAATGTAGAAGAACTTATAATGAAAAGTGAGACTTCTGACCTATCACTCTTCTTAGCCAGTTCTACTTCCAAGAAGCAGCCACTCAATAATTTTCTGTTTGGATTTCTTCAAGTGTTTGTCACCATATCTATCTATAATATGATTATATTTCCATTTCTTGTTTACCAGTAACAGACATTGTCCATTACATTAATATTATGGTAAATGAAGATTTATTTATTTCCCAGTCACTCTGCTATATCAGAAAAACACACTTAAAGCTCACTTTCCTGTTCAAACATAGAAAATGTTATCTCATATATATATATATATATATATGTGTATGTATATATTTACACACACTTTATAAAAATTAGGACATTATTTCACAATTTATAATGCAGTTGTTCCTCACCTTCTTTCTCTCAACTGATTTCAGCTATACATTTATATTTACATTGTCTAGGTTGATAACATTTACATTCTTTTTTGTTGAGTTGTCCAAATTTCTCAATGCTAAAACACATTAAATTGTGTATTTTTGAAGGATTCTTTAAGTGAGTTTCTTAGTAGAGGAATACCTTGTATTGTGGAAGTATACTGCTGCTCTCAGTAGGAAGCTGGTATATTACACTATAGTGCCTTATTAAATTAATTAGAGTGGAAATGCTTTGAATAAGGCTACCAACATATCATATAAGTGTTTTTTGATGCTACTGGCCTGAATGAGTTAATGTATTCATAGGTATCTCACATGCTGGGAGAGTTGTTTATACTATTGGCAGGATATGATACCTGTTCTTATTTAATACAGTAACTAAAAGTGATTGATCATATTTTGGGGTCTGGGGAAAGTAGGAGAGGAAGAAAGAAAATGAGACTGTATTAATTTTTAAAAGTGAAATACAATTTTTCTTAGTATGTAACTGATTTTTACAACAATTGCCTGGGAAATTGGTATTTACAGACTTTTTTTAGTTTTTACATTGTAAATTTTAAAAAGAAATATTTTAAGTAATTACAAAATGTTTTGGTTGTCTATTCTTATGTAGTGATTTGTAAAATATCCCTATAATTCTTTTTCAATTAATCTTTCAGATTGTTATTAAGAAGAGAGAACCATTGAATTTTGGCATCCCAGATGGGAGCACAGGTTTTTCTAGTAGATTAGCAGCTACGCAAGATCTGCCTTTTATTCATCAGTCTGTAAGTATGTTAATGGTTCTAGGGAAAGGTTTCGTTTTGTTTCTGTTTTCTTTAAAGCAGAGGAATAAAATCTAAATGAGTTTAACATAGTATTTATGTTTTTGTAACTTTGAAACAAGTTTAGCAGTTCGAGAGAGGTTAATCTGGAGTTTTACCAATCCTAACCTTTTATGAGATTGTAAATTACATTAGATACTAAGATCAAGGTCTCATTGTACACGTGAAAGATAGACATAATGTTATTTAAAAATATGAACATCAGAGAGATTACCCTTAAAATGAGAGATTAACCCTAATGGTAGATTATTTTAAAGTGAGTTGTGAATTGTTTTCTTCACAGAGTGTATTTTCATTCAAAGTATGACTTAATTTTAAATGATTTGACTTAAATGAAACTTTCTAAAGGAAAAATTTTTGAAAGAAGTAGACAGCTGAGGTTCTCAACCTTGGGAGCATATCAAAATCAGCTTTGGAAGTTTTTTAAAAGCACAGATGTCCAGACCCCTACCTACCTAAGCTTTAAGCATGCTTTGATTGATTGATTATATTATCTATTGTTGTGTAACAACTCCAAATTCAGTGACTTGAAATAATAACAAATATTAATGTCACAGTTTCTGTGAATTGGGAATCCAGGTGACTAAACTGGGTGGTTCTAACTCAGAATTTCTCATGAGTTTGCAGACAAGTCATTGGGTTGGGTCTTCAATCATCTGAAGGCTTGACTGTGGTCGAAGGATTCATTTCAAAGACAGCTCACTTCTACACCTGACAAATTAATGCTGTTTGTTTGCACAAAGCTTCAGTTCCTTGCTGTGCACCTCTCCAAGGAGCTGCTTGAATTTCTTTATGACGTAACTGCTGATTTTCCCAGTAAGTGATAAGAGAGTGAGAGCACTTGCTCATGGGTGAGGGTGACACCACAATGCCTTTTTGTGATGTGGTTTTATAAGTGATACACTGTCACTTCCACATTATTTCTTTAGAAGCCACTAAATCCAGCCCACACGCAAGCCTCCACCTCTTGAAGGAAGGAATGTCTTAAGAAGTTGTGGACGTATTTTTAAACTACATTTGTCTGTCAATCTATGTATTTTATTTATTTGTGTAAACTGCATAGTTGCTTCTGAGGCCCCTCTCCCCAGGTGACCCATGTATATGTATATTTTTAATTCATTGAGTAAAAACATTGTTTTTACTAAAGCCAGACCCTGTGGCATTAAAGGGTCTTTGCCTCAGAAAAATGCATTCTAGTAGGGGAGACATGATATTAAATAAATGATCACACATGTCAATGTAATTACAAACTTTGATAATTCCTATGCCGTTACATGATGCTATGAACATACACCATAGATACTTAGCTGAATAACGTAGCATTATAATGTTTAATTTTTTATTTTATACATCTCAAAATTAAACTGTATTCATATATGTTTGATCCGTATTGGTGAAATGCTTTAATCCTACCCGCTGAATTAGCAATATTTGCCACCCATATAATACTATAATACTATTGTAGCTCATTGTAAAGTTGTAAATATACAACTACTTACAAAGTTGAGAAGGGGTAAGTAGGGTAGATGGAGAATGTCTCCACTGCTGTTTCCACGTATTTTCCTCCCAAGCAGACAGAATAAAGGGGCATTGCATAGGAGAGGATGGTAACCTATTGGACTATGTTTTCTATACCAAAAATATCTTACCATTCATTCTACAAATTAGATTCTTCTTTTAAACTATACATTTTATTTTTTTCTAGAATTCATCATTCGTATTGTTGTGAGAGTTCTTTTATACTAAAGATAAATGTCACGTTTTATACTTTTTTAGTTTGTTCAATTGGTTTGGGTATTTTTGTTGGGCAGGTGTATTTAGTTTTTATGTAGACAGATCTATAAATGGTTTTCTCCCTTTTTCTTTTTACTAAGGCCATCTCTACTAAAGGATCAGTACCACCCTTTTTAATGGTCTCTATAGTTTCACTTTTTAAAAAAATCTAAATATTTTATTTACTCTAACAGTCAAATACTTACTTTAGTGGAAGAATAGATAATATGAATGGGAAATTTACAAATAAGAAATAGACGTAACCTAATTTGAAGAAAAGCTTGATCTTACTAGTGCTCATAGTAGGCCCAGTGAGGTGGTACATGCCTGTAATCTCAGCACGTTGGGAGGCCAAGGTGGGCAGGTCACTGGAGCTCAGGAGTTCGAGACCAGCCTGGGCAACATGGCGAAATCTCCCCTCTACCAAACTAAAAAAGTTAGCTGGGTGTGGTGGTGCACGCCTATAGTCCCAGCTACTTGTGAGGGGCTGGTGTAAGAGGATTGCTTGAGCCCAAGAGGTCGAGGCTGCAGTGAGCCGTGATCACACCACTGCACTCCAGCCTAGGTGACAGAGTGAGACCCTGTCTCAAACAAAACAAAGTAAAATAACGATACAATTTTAAATCTTGTCAAATTAGTAAAGAGAAAAGAAAGCAGCTGAGTGCAGTGGCTCATACTTGTAATCCCAGCAATTTGGGAGGTTGAGGCAGGAGGATCACTTGAGGTCAGGAGTTCAAGACTAACCTGAGCAACATAGCTAGATCTCATTTCTAAAAAAAGTAAAAAACAATTAGCCAGTTGTGGTGGCATGTGCCTGCAGTCCCAGCTGCTAGGGCAACTGAGGTGGGAGGATCCCTGGAGCCCGGGAGTTTGAAGCTGTTGTGAGCCATGATCACACCATGCACTGCAGCCTGGGCAGCAAAGTGAAATGCTGATTCCTAAAAAAAAAAAACAACAAAAAAAAACAAGGAGGTGGGGAGAAGAAAAGGCAAGATTTCTACCTGCTGCAGTCAAGAGGATAGCTTGGTACTTTTCAAAGCTGTCATTTGCACTTTCAGTAGCTTTAAAAACGCTCCTTTCAGAAATGTATATTAAACAATTAGAAATATTTTAATAATTTTTAACAGAGTATGGTATTACATATATTGTCAGAAGAAGAAAGCTCAAAACATTCTATTTCATTTTTAGGGGTAAGTATTTAAAACAATATGATATTAAATAAATCTGTTCACAGATTGGTACCAGTTATTTTACACACAGTCACTTCCAAACCTACCTAAACAGTCCAGCATGACCATTTTCGTTAGTTATTGAAAGAAAACTGAACTCTTGGAGGTCTGCCTTGGGAAATAGAGGTAGGGACCAGTAGATGATACCAGGTAAGAAAGACTGGGAAAAGGAAGCATGGCATAGAAGTATTTCAATAAAGATACATTTTGCATGATTTGTCATTTTTGCCTAGGATTGACATAGTAAGTGCCAATAAAAAATCTCTGGTAAGTTACATATGCTTAAATGAAGATGACTGTGCTAGTTTTTACATTTCAGCTTGCAGTTCTTTTCAGCACAGATTAGTCCAGTCAAGGATTTCTGATTCAGTCTGGGATCAATCAATTTCTTGTCACTCTGTCCCCAGCTCCCTCATCTTACTGAGAAGAGAAAGAAACCAAAGAAATGTTCTGTTCTTGTTCATTTCAAAATAAAGTACAGCAAAGAAGAAAATTTAAGAGAGTATCCCATAAAACATAAAATAAAGAAGAAAGCTGGACTTGCCTTGGACTGTTGAGCATTGAAAGTCATACATCAGTTCTAGGCAAGCCAAAAGCAAAATCATTTGTGCCTTTTATAGGACAGGGTAAGGAAACTGAAAAGACACAGCAGAATGACAGGTTCTAAGTTACGTGTTAAAAGATACTCTTTTTGACGGCTATGTGGAGAAAGGATGACTTTTACTCTCTTAATTTTGTTTTACTTTTCATTGTAGTCTGAATTAGGTGACTTAGATACCTGGCAAGAAAATACCAATGCATGGGAAGAAGAAGAAGATGCAGCCTGGCAAGCAGAAGAAGTTCTAAGGTATTTGAGTGGCATTTATATTGCAACCTGAGTAGAAGAACTAGATTTCTTCCCTCCTGTGTTTCAAGTCAAGGGAGCCTATTCTGTCAAATATATTTTTCTTCTTTTGAGCCTTAGATAATATGGAGTTTTTTGGTTTTTTTTTTGTATTTCAGACTGCAGATACTATTTTATATGATTAAAACCTCATGGAAACCAAGAATTTTAAGCACTGTAGGAACAAAATAACTTAATTAATGGCAAATGAAATGTTATGTATACATGTATATAAAAAGTTTTATATATATATATATGGTTATATACATATGATACATATCATATTGCAAGCTTGATATTCCTCTAGATCAGAAGTTACAACTTTACTTCCATTTCCTCATGATCTGGTATAGTGCCCAGCACTGCTCATTTGAATGAAAATAACTTATGTGACACTGTACGTTTGTACATATATCTTAAATGATGTCCGTGAAAGCCCTATGTGTTAGATGAACTACCCATTCTACAAAAAATACTATTCTGGAAGTTCTAAAGTTCATTTTTATTGGTTGTTCTTTTTTGTGTGTGGGCAGCAAACATATTTCTTAGTACTGCTACGTTAGGTCAAAGAGTAAAGAGAAAATTTATCTTAAGGGAGAGCTAGTGACTACTGATTTTTAAAAGATATTTAAATACATCTAAATAATTTATGCATTTTTAAAATTGTATAGTAAGATACAGCAATATAATTTTTTTTATTTTAAAATTTAGATTGTTTTTATCATAGGAATAGCAAACAAATTATTCTTTATCTGACTCGCAACAAAAAAACGGATTTCATTTTTGTATTTTCCTTTCTTGGCTTTGTCAGTAAATTAGTTACTTTGAACAACCAGCAGAGGGTGCAGCTAAATAACTGGGAATTTTGTTTGAAGTTTTTGTTTCTTTTTCGTTTGAAATGTATCAAGTCCTTTTTTGTTTGTTTGTTTTTTTGCTGGTTAGGGGAAGTCACATTTCAAAATTCAGTCAGGAAAATTGTGAGAGTTTTTAAAATTTAGTTCTTATTTAGTCAGTATAGCTTATCTTTTATAAAGGGAATATTTTTTAAATTGTGAACTGTAACACTTAGGATATTGCATGGATCATCAAAAAAGACAAATCATCTCTTTAAAATTCAGTGTTATTTTAAAAAGTAAATAATAAATACAGATGTCTGAGTATTTAAGACATTTTGGGGATTCTAGTAATTATTAGTGCCATTAACTGCAAAGACAAAGGAAGGGGGCTGTCCTTTTTAAATACGGTAATCTCACTGTAGAGTTCATGCCATGAGTTCACAAATATCTTAACATTGTACAAAAACCTTTTCTTTTTCATTATAGCCTCTTAACCCCTAACAAAACAAGACAAATGAAAAAAATGTACTTAAAAACTTAATGTTGTACCCTTTAAGGACAGCTTGGGAGAGTGAGATTGTTAATCTGCAATAGACATGCTTCATGCTGCAAGTACATAGGTAGAGCCAAAGAGACATGGAGGCGTCTGTACATTGTTACTGCCCCCGAATAGACACTGAGCATTTTAAAAGTGTATCCACATTCCGTATCTTCTAACTCTGAGCTTTTTTCCTATTGCCACTATAAAATGCTGCCAGTACTGTGATCAGTATTGCTAAGAATGATGATTCTGGTACTTTAATAATTCCCAGCATGAATCTGGATAGGTAAAATGTATTGTCGTCTGCAGCTATCTCTTACGTTGTCTCTTTTACATTTTAGTTTTTGATACAGATTGGGTATCCCTTTCCAAAATGCTTGGAACCAGAAGTGTTTCAGATTTTGAAATTTTTGAAACCTTAGAATATTTGTGTTCTACTACTGGTTCATCATCTCAAATATGAAAATCTAAAATCTGAAATGCTCCAGTGACAATTTCCTTTGAGTATCAGGTCAGCCCTCAAAAAAATTCAGATTTTGGAGCATTTCAGATTTTGGATTTTTGTATTTGAGGTGCTCAGCCCTTATATTATTTTAGCTAGTAACCAGGTCAAAACTTTGTTATCTCACTTGCTTATAGCCTAGCCAGCCCTTTATAGTTTTTTCCTTACCTTCCTTTTTTCTTCTGGTTTGACATTTTTAGTTCAGATTATTAGTTTTTCTTGAACATGAGCAGAGTGATGAAAAATAGATTTTTTAAAACTGTTCTTCAGAAATTGATAGCAAAAGTCAAAATGTTGCCAAAAATAGTTTCTTTACTTTCTTGAATTTTGGTCATCCATAACTCTGCCTACTCCTGTTTATGATTGAGAACTGTACATACTTTTCACTCACTGTAGTCAGTATTGATCTCCCCCAGACATAGATAATCCACTTTGGATTTTTCTGCATATAACCTAATGTTGCCTATTCCATGCCCAATTGTGACCTGTAGCTTCCTTCCTCAACGCTGCATACTTGAACGATTTTCTCACACCTAACCCTTCAGATCCAGGACCAACGTATGTTCACTCTGCTCTGTCCTGTTTCATCATCCCACTCCTACCTCCACTCCCTACATAAACCAATCAATAAAGATAGAGAGAGTGAGTCTGGGTCAGTGGAGTTATGGAAAGAGTAAGGAAGGGGTATGTGTTTCACAAAGTGTAATTAGTAAATACCTACCTCTCTTTTTTTAAAAAAAAACTTTTAAGTTCAAGGGTACATGTGCAGGATGTGCAGGTTTGTTACATAGGTAAACGTGTCAAGGGGGTTTGTCATACAGATTATTTCATCAGCCAGGTATTAAACCTAATATCCATTATTTTTCCTGATCCTCTCCCTCTGTCTAACCTCCTCCCTTCTGGTAGGTCCCAGTATGCATTGTTCTCTATATGTTCATGTGTTCTCATAATTTAGCGCCCACTTATAAGTGAGAACATGCAGTATTTGATTAAATACCCACCACTCTTCTCTTTGGTAGAGTTAGTCACATGTTAATCTTGAAATTTATTTCTAGATTCTAGGTGGAAGGTGTATCTTAAGTTTCCGTTTTCTTTTTGGAGCATGTGTTCTGTTCAGCTGTGTTCATCATTCTCTTTAAATACTGGCTGTTTATAACTACTATATTAACAGGAGATTATCAAGCTCAATATCAAGCTTTTCTGAATGGTATCCCCAGAAAAAGATGTGGTTCAATGGAAGTACTGTTTTACGAAATGGAGATAATCTGAATAAGAAGTGTCAGAAGATGTGGGTTCTTATCCCTGTACTTAATCCTATGACTTCGGGCCAGTCACGTAGCCTTTATGCCTCATTTTACTTATTTGTAAAATAGAGATAATATTTCTTCTACTTCACAAGTCATGTTCTAGGAACTAAGAGAAATCCTGTTTTTGAAAATATTTGGAATTTTCAAGTTAGTGAGAAGATTTCAAGACTTTCAACATTTTATTTGGTGGTGATAAAAAGGCACTGCTATTTGTTTCTAGAATTTATTTGCCATTTTACCTGTGTAGTATTTTCTAAAAGTAAAAATATATTTCTTTTCAGACAGCAGAAACTAGCAGACAGAGAAAAGAGAGCAGCCGAACAACAAAGGAAGAAAATGGAAAAGGAAGCACAACGGCTAATGAAGAAGGAACAAAATAAAATTGGTGTGAAACTTTCATAACACATGTTCTTCACATTTTATCATGCCAGTAGGAGAAATCTCAGCTCCACAACTCTAGCAACATTTGTGTGGATGTAAGAGTATTTTAAGAATACACACTGCTTGATTTTAATACATTGATCAAGCCATCCAGGACACCAGGATTCTCCCAAAGTACCTTGAACTCTTAGTGATTGAGACTCAAAAAAACAAAAAAGACTTGAGACAATGTTTTCTTCAACGTGCTCCAAATATAAGACATTTGTTTGCTGTACAGAAAGTATCACAAATGGAATATATCAGTACCTCTCAAGCTAGTGTTTCTAGCTAAATAAATGGGTGTATATAATTTTATGGTGGAAAAGGTCTGTTATGATTTCCTTCAGTGTGCATAATGATAAAATAAATAATTTTAATATTCTTTTGTTTCCATGGTTACCTGACCTAAATTAGATAAATTGTAGGGCTTTAGCTTTCTTATTTTTGTCAAAAGTTGGTGTTGACATACATTCTCTCTAATTTGAACTGGTATTGTTTACGTTTGATACAACATTAAGGAATTTGATGATTTTCATTTCATGAAAATGACATTAAATGCAATAATTTTATTTATCATAAACATTTTGTACATCATTGTTTTCTTTTGGATTGGTGTTGTAATGTCATACATGTAATTTATACCGCATGTATAAACATTGAAAATCAACTAAAATGACATTTGTTTTACATTATGACTTGTGAGTTTTAAGAACTAGTATTAGTAGTTTTTTCCTTTCACTATAGATTTTAAGATGTTGTGGTATCTTTGAGTGCCTTAGTTCTTCCTCCATCCCAAAAGCCATTAATTTACAAATGCATAAAGCCATCAGGTCAAATATTTCAAAGCTTGTAGATGATTTCTGTATTAGCTTTAGAAGTCCGACATTATGTAGGTTACCTGTGTTATTGGCTAGGATAACATTATTGATTCATTAAATCATAAAGGTAGGAATAATAATCTTTTATTTATGCTGTTGATTGGCTCCAAAATAGTCTTAAGGAAATAGTTAAATACTGTGTTTATAGGAGAAAAGTAGACTTGATAGTTTAAAATCCCATTAACCTTTTCATCACAACTGAAATGCATCCAGCTCGATTTTCCTATCATTTTAGAATTTTTAAAGATTTTTACTAAGTTACTGCCTAGAATCAACACTCTGTGAGATTTTAAAATGTCATAGATACTCTACAGGCCAAACCTTGCTAATTTATTTTACTTAAAGTGATATTTTATAGAAAAATCATAAGTTATACAATGAGAACCCTTTAAGCCCTTAGCCTAAGATTCCAGACTAAATGTGATTATAGAATAAGATGAAATTTAACTTTGATACAGAGTTTGTTATAGCCCCAAATTATATTTCCAGTTATATTCATTAGAATTTCTGCTAATAAACTCCCAACTTAAATAGAACTGGGCTCAAAGTTTTAATAATGTATTCTCTTCCTTCTTTGTATTTATATTTAGTTATTATGGGAATACAACATGGCTTGTCTAAATTTGGAGTTCATAAAGGATAAAACTTCCTTTAGCTCAATTACTTGTATTGCTTTTCCCCAGTAACTGAAAAGTATTTAAGTTTGCTTTGGTCATGATTTTCATATGTTTGAGGTTTTTGTTGTTGTTTTTTGGCTTTTTGGTTTTTGGTTATTTAAAAATAAAGATGTTAGAAATTATAGTTAGTATGATTAATTAGGAAGAAATAGATTTTTCTTGTGGAAAGAATAGGTAACAATTCTGGAATTTATTTTATCTCTATTGATGTGTAAACTAAATTCCTGTATTAACTTGGGTATATTTTGGTCCCAAAAGTAGTCACTGAGTTAAATGCATATGATAAACAATTCATGGTAGCATACTGTCTCCTTTAGCTACTAAATTTACGGTTTCTATTTTTTGTTTTATTGATTTCAATAAAGAATTGTCAGTTTTAGATGCTTATTAGAAGTAATAAGAAATACTGGTAGGCTTAGATAGAATTAGTGACATTTTAACCATTACCAAAATTGTGCATTTCATGTACTGAGATAACAAGTAATCAAAAACATGTGAAACTTACCTTGTGTTTTTTTTTTTTTTAATGTAATTTCATAGTTTCTAGCCATTTCCTGTAGCATGTTTAATTGAGTTGATATTTTAGAACTGAAAATTTTAAATTCTGCATCCAAATTTCTCAGTTTTGACATGCACTCGCCTCTGGGTGATTATTTCTGGGTTGTTTCTTGATGAAGATTGGTGATTGGGCAGAAGGTACCTAGAGAAACCAGCATCTGGATCGAGCTTCCAACACTACAAGCTACCACCATGGTGTAAACCTAACCATAGTCAGTGTTCCAAAAAGCTTGAATTTTGTTGAGAATGGTACGTTTCCTAAAGGATGGTTTGAGCCAGTCAGAGCTAACATACTCAACTTGTTTGATCCTATGAAGTTCAGATTTGGAATAATCAACAATGATTTTCATACTCCTTAAGCCCCTTGCTCAAAGGAAATCTTTAGGTGTGTAAGCAAACATGACAGTTAGGGTTCTGAATGGATCCATGCTGGGAGGTTGGGAGTGGACTAGAGCCTACAGATTGTTCCAGGGAAGGAGCTTATACCCTCTCAGGTGAACTGGATGGCTGAAGAAGATAGTAGGTTCATGAAGAGCATATTTAGTAGCTAATACACTTGTTTTTGTCATTTACATAGTTTTTTAAAAATTTGAACTGATCTGTCCTAATACAATATGAAGAGACTTACTTTTTTCTTTGTGTAATTCCTTTCACTTTAATGTAACCAAAACTATCCCAAGCTTACAGCAACAGCTAGGCACTCCTTTTGTACTCAACTGTATTTTGATTTTTTTGCATTGCCTTCTACTTTTTATCTTCCATCCCTCTTGGTCATGACCATTGGGCATACTCAATAACCAGAGTAAGTTTTGAGAGCTAGTAAAATGCTTTTTCACCAGACACCTTCGATCTTCTATAGCTTGAAGAAACACTCTATTCTAGGGACCTCCTTGACCGTCTTTTACCCTCATACAACACATTTGTTTCTATCCTTTCATACCCCCTGCTGACACTGCTCGTTCACCAGTGGAAACTTTTGCAGAGAAGCTCACTGAAAGTCTGCAGCCAGTCCAAGAGTATCCCAGCCTTCCCTTTCAGGGGACTTCCTTTCAGGGAGTCTTTTGGTAGATGCTTTCCTTATGTACATTGATCAGATCACACCAGCTCTGAGAGGTTCCCAGAGTTCTTAGAGCTTCTGTAGAGCTAGTACAGCATTAAACAAACTGCCGGAGTTTACAACTCTTTTAAATGGAAATAGTGGTTGTAAGGATTGAGACTGTACGTAAGTGTTCAGTATAAGCACTCAATAGTTGGAAGTTGGTATGAGGCCCTGTATACTTCCCACATCTCACCATTCAGTGGTATTGGCAACGCCTTCCCTGCAAAGAGTGGGAGAAGTTGCCTGATTTTGCAGTATTTTATACACATCTTTAAATTGAACTTGAAATTTCGCAAGACAGAGAACATTTATTGTAAGTCTGAGTCTTTGACTAATTATATCAATGACTCTTAGCAATCTTGTAAGAGAGATATTACCCTTATTTCACATATAAGGAAACCAAGGCTTAGAAAATAAATTGTGTACTTGATTAATGGGATGGAAAATAGCAGCTTTTGAGAGGAGGTTATAATAGTGGTTAATCAATAGTCTATGTGGACTATGATTTCTAAGGCCTCTCTTGATGGAACTATGAGCTGCCAAAAAGCCTTTTAAAGTTTCTCCTAGTTCTTAATGAAGATAGCATTACAAATTATAGAAGATAATACCAATTTGTGTTTTCTAGTAATTTAATAAATATGAAGAAAATTAGCTTGGTTTTTATTTTCATATAAATGACAACTGTTGAATATCAGTGCCATATAATTACGTATTTGCAGTTCATTTGGGTCAGATAAGGCAAAATGAAATGTGGTTTATATTCACACACCTGCAGAAATAAGCCAATTAGCGCACTTGATGGGGTCATAATTATAATGAGGTCAAGACCACAGGTTCTATGCATGTGCAGACCAGTATTGTACCTAGAGGCCTTCCTGCTACAAACTGTCCCTGACCTTGTCAGTTATTAGCGAGTGTCTTTAGGTTTTGGTTGAGAGAATGAATGGCACAGAAGAGAACATCTCCTTGTGTAGAAAATTCAAAGGACATACTCTGATCAGTATGTTGACTTAATTCTTGGAGAAATTTTGGCTCTTTATAAGATATTAACTACTGCCCATGATTAGTTTTATTTGTTAAAATATTCAGACCTTAATTTGAATTCTTATACAGCAATGCCATTTCCAAACCTGTTGACTATTCCTGAATAAACGCAGTGCTTACCTATTTTATGGAGAAAACACCATAATCAGATATAGTGGCCTCTGAAATTAACTCAGCATTTTATTGCAGTGCTAAGTGAAGATGTGCATAAGAATACAGATATATTTAACTTGTCACATTTAAGTTTAAAATGTGAAAATACAAGTGCTTTTATTGCTTTGTGAGGTTCTGCAGTGCATCTGAACCTTGTAATTACCTAATCTGTCTTGATTAGAAGGAGCCCTTATAGAGTGAGACAGTGCATGGGCGATCATTTTTAAAACTTGTCCATGTACAACTTCCAGTGGGAGATGTAAAAATTATTTCTGCTTTCATTTTTCATTTTCTGTATACAACCAACAAGCTAGAAATAATGTGCTGGTTCAGAAAAATTAAAGGTCAGTTTAAAATGCCAGCACCTATTGTTTACTGTAGAAAGTGAGGCTGGCAAACCATTTCAAACACTGTGAGCTATTTAATTGTGAGGAAGGGGAAGGAGGTTCTTAACTGCACCATCAAATTAGAGAAGCCATGATACCTACTTTTAATATTCACAAGGTGAGTCAGACTTAATTTTATAATGCATCGTCATCTTATATGTATCATGATAGTCCCAGATACTTACATGGCTTCTATAATCTGAGGGAGAGAGAATGAGGTCCTCTTCATAGTTAAACCAATAGAGCACTGGCAGACAAATTTTGTAACAAAGGTTTAGAAAACAATTCTGTTAAGCATTCCTTATTTAGGGCAATAGAGAAACATATCTTCAGCATTAACCAGAGCAGTATTTCAATTAACAGTTTTCATATATGAGATCTTACATGAACTGAAAGTTTTCAAAGAACCTAGTATATAGGGAAATGACATGCAAGTCATTCTCAGAAGTAATACTAGGACCCGCGCAGGGGGTAGGGGGAGGTCAGTGGCAGGGCTTCCAGCCTGTGTGCTCATTTGTATGTGTTTTATATATTGGAGTTTTTAAATGTCTAAAATACGCGTTAAAGTTGTACATCTTTTAACAAACTTGAATGCTACTAAAAATATTTCAATCTTCTAACAAAAACTCTTCTAAGTAGCACTTAAACCTTTTTTAAATTTTAAAATTCTTTGAAGTTATTGTAACCATTATAACAATCATTATGATTGTGGGAAAATCAGTGCACAGCAGTACATCCAGTGGGTTTAAAATAATTACCTGATACAAGCCTGTTTTATTCTATTTGGACTTTCTAATTGTTTTTGTTCAGGACAATTGAGAGTCTGATGACATTCTTTCAAGATTTGTTATAAACTATTAATTTCCTAGGCTAGTGCCTCATTGTGCACATTTTGCCGGCAAGATTGGAAGGAAATAAAGTTTTTTCAAGTGCTCACTGACCCAAAATGGAAATGGGAAACTACCCCAAATCTTTCAAAATGAAAAACCCTCAAGAGGAAGACATATCAGACCCAACCACTACTTAGGCAGGGCAAATGATAAATGCAAATCACAGACTTCCTTTTTCTTCTGCCACAAATGTCAGAAACGCTTGGCATCTGAGTGCATTGCATTTTTTTCCCTCTTTTCTGAACAGCTCAACTTGGAAAGGTCAACATATCCCTTTGGGAAAAATCTTTTCTTATAAATTGGAATGTTTGCACACGTTAACTGTAGGAAATGTTTAACATTTGCTTTCATGGGACAGCAATTTGTTCAATAGAGTGGGATTGTTCTTGTTTTTTTCATTTTCCTGCCTGTTTGTACATCACAGGCACTCTAATTACTGAAAGCAACTTCGAGGCACTTCTTTCTATGGAATCAGATCATCCTATCCACAAAACCAGCCAGTGCCTTGGGCTTCCAAAAGGCAAACATGTTCCATCTTTTAGTTACTCCAAGGGACTCATTTGTGAGAGACTGTTCTGAATAAAAGCAGTAATTTTCCACAGACTATACAGCTGAAACCCTGAAGAAGGAGGAGAGGGAGGGTGAGGGGGTGTCCAGTGTCTCCAATGGGTTGTTTGAATCTTTTGGTTTACGTAAAGAAGGATATAGGACATTAAGACGATAAAACTGTTTGCTATTGGTGATCAGCTGCATCCAATCTGACAATTAATAAATATTCGTGGTTTGTGGAGAATTCTTTCTAACCAGAGCCTATCCTTTCCCTCCAACTTGAATTGATGAAGAACAATGCTGAGTTTGTGTAGTTATATTTGTTTATATGGAAACAAGCAGATACTCAAAACAGGCTTATAATTTTTTTAAGTAAAAATGCTCTTAGCAATGACTTAAAATAAGCACAAGGAGGGACTTTAAGGAAGATACCAGTATCTAAGTATTGATCTGGGCAGGACTACAGGAAGGGACCTGAGTCAGCATGGCTCAGTATTTTGGGACACTTCCGATTATTCACCTCCAGAAATAGTTTCCCTTCCATTTCAAACAAATCCTTCTACTGCTGACGAGAGCTGCAAGATGTGTAAATACAAATGTGTGTGCTTGAGACACGTGTGTATTCCAGTAGAAATGTCCTATCAGAGACAAACCATCTCTCCTCACGCACATATTCCCATGCCCTGGATCCTATCCCTTCTTTTCAAGGGCTCTCCTTCCTCAATTAATTTATAATTTTTTATTATTTTATTCCCTCCTATGTCATTAATTTATTTCTCTTCATTGACCCAATCACAAAAACATACAAACATGTTCTGTCTCTTCTCAATATTGAAAAATTAACCTTTGACCTTATATCTCCTTTTAACTACCACTCAATTTCCTATTCTCCTTCATTGTAAAACTTAAAAAAAGTCAGCAGCACATATTTCTTTCCACTTTCTCTCTTCCATTCACTCTTCAACCTGCTCCAATTGGCCTTCCATCCCCATTTCTCCAAGGACTGATCTTGACACAGTCACTAAGACCTTGCTGTCAAAGCCAGTGACTATGTAACTATTCTCATATTACTACTCAATCTCTTGGTGGGATTTCAACACAATTGACTGCTCCATTCTTCTTGAATTACTCTCTTCTCTTGGTTTTTATACTACTAGTCACCTAGTTTTGCTCTTACATTTTGGGCTGTTATTTCTTTGGCTGTTTTGTTGGTTCTTCATCCTCCACCTCTACCTAAATGTGGAAGTACCTCAAAGATCCATTTTTGACCTTTTTTCCTTCTCTACACTCTTCCTGGATGACCTCATTTGTTCCCATGGTTTTAATTACCACACAAATGCCAGAAAGGTTCAGTGTTACAACTCTACTCCTGACAGCTCCCTTGATTTTCACATTTATATATACAGTTACTCTTGATGCCTCCACATAGGTATTTTAATAGACATCTCAGTTTTATTTTCCCAAACTTGTTTCTCTTGAACTCTTCCCATTCTGAGCAAATGCGGCCACCACTGATCCAATTGCTCGAGCCAAAAACCTAAGTCACCCCTATTTTTTTTCTTTTCCTTACTCCACATTTAATCCATCAGCAAATCACATTAGTTCTATCTTCAAGCTATATCTGTAATTATTCAACTTAATCTCTGTATCTACTTCCACCTCGAAATTGGCATCATCTCTCATCTGGACATTACAATAGACCCCTAAATGGTGTCCCTGAATAAACTGAAACCTCTACCATGGTTTATGTGACCCCATATGAAGCAGCTTCCTGTCTACTCCAACTTTCTCCTTCCTTCTCACTCTGCTCCAGCCACACTGACCTCCAGGATGCTCCTGTCACATGGTGAGCCCATTCTATCTGATGGCCTTTGAATTTGTTGCTCTTGCAACAAGATTTTGTCCCATATTTTCTCATGATTGACTTTCATCCATTCCCACCAACGTTATTTCTTCAGAGATGTGTCCCTTATTTTCACCTCTGCCACACTTGGTCAAAACACCTATTTCCTTTGAGGCATTTACCACTATCTGAAACCATCTTTTGTTTATTTGATGGCATGTTGTGTCCCTCACAGACACAGAACGTAAGCTTCCTGAGGACAGAAACCTTGTCTGTCTCCTTCACTATTTAAGACCCATCCTGGAAAGTGCCCAGTTAGCATCGGAGTACCTGGTATTTTGCTGGATTAATTAATTCATTCAACAGCAATTTTTAGACTTTCCACTGTGTACCAGGTACTGTATCAAGTTATTTTTAAATTTTTAAATTTTGTTTTTAGAAAATTATTTTTAAAATATTTTGGGCATCCCCAGTAGGTGTCTATATAGGGCTCATGAGATTTTGGTACAGGCAGGCAATGTGCATGTAATAGTCACATCATGAAAGATGGGGTATCCATCCCCTCAAATATCCTTTGTGTTAAAAACAATCCAATTATACTCTTTTAATTATTTTAATATATGCAATTAAATTATTACTGATTATAGGTTCCCTGTTGTGCTATCAAATTCTAAGTCTTATTATTTCATTTGTTCTAAGTTCTTGACATACACCTGTGAACAAAACAGAACACAGATCCTTTCCCTCATGGAGCTAATATCTTAGTGGGAAAGATGGGTAATAACCAAGACATTGTAAGTAAAAGGGTGGTATGTTTAAAGGTGGTAAGTGCTATGGAAGAAGAGTTTCTGGATGAGGACTTAGGGTATTTTCCAGCCTCTTCCCTTTGTGTGGCAAATTAGAAAAGGCATTTGCTTTTGCAGACACTTGAAATCATGGCTTCTGGAGAGATGAGTTCTGAGATCCTGAACATTTTTCCTCTTTGAGGCTTAGCTCTCTTATGTGTATAAAATACTAATCTCAAAATTTTGGTGTAAGCACTAGATGAACATAGATCCAATACCTTCTCATCCCTTCCCAGCCACCCACCCTCATCCTATCATTCTGAGGAAGGAAGCTGTATGTCACTACCATATTCTCCCTCTCCTGAACACCTAGCATGCTTAAATCAACCCAACGTTCATGAAAACACTCAAGATGTACTTACTGCATAAACATGTAGACAAACTAGCGTATGGGCAATTTAAAAGTAAACAAAGCTACTTGTACTCAGAAATGATGCTTTTTAAGTAAGGGTAGGAAATCTTCACCTTTATTTAATAACTCTTTTTCCCTCTTTCTAATTTAATTCAATTTTTACAGACCCCTATTGATAAAGATGTTAGATCTGCTATTCATTGTCTTTCTTATACATAGAAGTAAAATCACAGAGATAATTATTTTATAGGAGGATAAAACATTTATTTAAATGGAAACACTAATCTTTATTTTCATCATGCTGAAGTGTGTGGTTACAATTTCCAACAAAACACTATATATAATAAGCAAAATAAGTTAGTACATTGTAAACTTATGCACAATTTCATCAATTAACAGTTTAAGAACAAACAAGCCATTTAAGACTTTGTAGCTACATTTAGTAAAAAATTGCAGACACTCAAATCTTATCAACCCCAAGTAAGACACTAAAGAGCTATTCAAGACTTCTTCAAACCAATTACACAAATACATGTTTATTTTTGGTTACAGTCCCCTGCTATGCACAAGACCATTGGAATGCTGGAACGATTACACATTTTAAAACGGCACAAAGCAAAGCAAGGAGATAACATGCCAGCCTTAGAGAAGCTGTCTTGAAAGTGCAAACTGCATTTTCTCTTCCTGAACCACTAGGATAAGAACGGGTACCTCAGACGACACGGCAGGGTCATGAGCATGCTTTCTATACCGCACTGGTGGGACATTTACTAGAACCAGGTCTCCATGCCTTTGAAGATACCTCCGGTTTTAAACAGTGAACAGGCTTCAACTAAATATAGTGCAAATCAAATACCGAGGAGCAAAACGACAGAATAGAAACCGTCACAGATCGACCTCCTGTTTCTCTACCTGGCACAACCCACATGGGACACATTGGCACACAGTAACAACAACTTCTATTTAGGTTTTGATATGGAAGGCGGTGCGGCGGAGCGAATGCAGGGCAACCACGCAACAGCCCCTGAGCAAGGCCCCGATGTTATAGACAGGATCCGTTCCCCCTCTCTGAGTACTGAATGCCCACAGAACCGTGGGGACCACGGGGGCAGCCACAGCCAGGAGATCCACCAGGAAGCTGCTGCTCCAGTACTGCCTCACGACGCCCCCGCGAGCCAGTGGGATGACACCATCCAACCTCTCTTCCACGCAGGCTGCAAAATCCAGCTCTCTCATGAGGCGGTTTGCATGGACTTCTGCATCCACATTGGCGGACGGGGTCTCCACGGGAGACAAAAGGATGGCTGAGTTTGGATTTCTTGGCGTTAAATCAACCACTAAGGCAGAGAGGGACTCTGGGAAGCTCTCCATCGAGTCTGGTTCAGACTCATCAGGGGACGCCAAGCTCGAGGGACAGGGGTCCTGGAGCTTCTGCAGCACATTCTGAATGAGCTCCGAGATGGCGGGGCTGTAGGGCACCACGTCGGTCTGTACGGCTCGCTCCACCACCACACTGCCCTCCTCCAGACCCATGACCATGGGCAGCAGCTCCAGGACATTAGCCCCAGGGGTGGAATGCACAAGCTCCAGGTCACCAGATTCTGTGGTGGTGGCTGTTACCATCTCATCAAACAAATCTGTGCCATCGGCTATGCTATCTCCCACCAGTAGCTCCCTGTCAACCCCTTCCCCAGCAACCTGCTCTTCCAGAGATAACCCATCTGCCATTGTGTCAAGAGGGGGGTTGAGGGTTAAACTCTTCTCTGGGGAATCACATGGAAAATCTAGGCACAGTTCGTCCCTCAGAGAGCCACTGTGTGCCATCTCCATGCTCTGAAGGAGAGACTCCAACTTCTTGTTTTGGATGTTTATGTCCACAAAATATTTCTGAATGCCTTTATCTTTATCAGCCAAGCTGCTCCGCATGGTTTCGATGACCTGTTTGAGCTGTTTAATCTCTTTCCTGGCTTCTTTGAGTGCCAACTGGGCCTCTACCCGGTGGCACTCCTCCTCAATCCAGTCCTCTCGCATGCGGGCCAGCTGGGACTTAAGCTCCACGATTTCACTTTCCCTAGAGTGCCAAGACAAGCATGGTTAATAAAAAAATAAAATAACTTTGAACTGGGCAACAGGCAGTTCTGGCACAGAGCCAAGAACTCATACTCTTCCACTTGAAATACAGATGTGAAATCAGTTTTGAATGCAGGGAACTCAAGAGAACACAGAAAACTTGAGAAAACACTTCAGCCTAAACTTAAAGAAACAGTACATTTTCTCTTTGGCAGAGATTAGCCGTAAACTTTCTCTTTAATTGTAGAATGGCTAAAGTAATAATAGTAATCAGAATCAGAATCAAAATAGCTACCACAATTTTTTTGAGTACCAATGATGAGTCAGATATTGCACTGTTACAAGTCTTATCATCTACTCAATCCTTAATATTTAAAATGTTATTATTAGAACATCTTAGCATCTGTTAGCGTGTTTCTATCTCCATAGCCTACTCTTTCCAAATGTCTATAGTTTGTGGAAGAAAAGGCCAGTTCACTTTTAATTACCTATCAAAGACAGAAGGTAGACTGATAAATTTTAGCCTTGCTAAATTGTTCGGATGATATTCCAATGATAAACATTTTTGAAATCATATGGCAGGGACTTTACATGTTGACAAGCTGCTTATTCTATCTCCTCTCAGATGGGATAATATTGAATTCATCCTACACTAAGGAGAAGCGATCCTACTTTTTAGATCCTTCACAGGACAACCCTACTTCAAGATCTTTGCATATAAATTCTTTCTTACATATAATTTTTTCATAGTCAGTCCTTACATTCTCAGTGGATATGAAGATAGCGTAGTCAGGATCCTCATATATATGAAGAGACATCAATATTGTTCATTTAAGTTTAGGTTAGAATATTTTCCCAAGTTTTACTGCATTCCCATTCCTTCCTCCCTTGAGTGCTCCAATCCTCCTACGGACTGGGCAAATCACAGACCAAACACTTCCAGACTTAAGGTCTAACACACCCCAGAGGAGAGTTTGGGTCTCAAGTCTATTTCAGACAGACGATGAACCAGATTAATTCGAAAGATGAAAAATGTCCCTTCCTCACAGTCTGCGCCCTTATCTACCCACAGTTTTAGCAACCAAGGTCATTGAGTTTTCTCTATTTCTTTGTGGCAGCAGCAGAGCAGGTTTGGGCTGATCAGGTAGCCCAGACTCTTAGAGAATGCAAATGCCACCCTCACCCTGAGCTCACAGCTACCCTGGTCAGAGCTTTCCTGGTCTGTTCCAAAATGTTCCAGGGGAAAACCATCAAGCAGAAAAACTGGCCTGCTGCCCAGATGTCAAAAGTCTTCTCCCTCAGATAAGATCTCTTAAGCATGGGCTTTTTTTTTTTTTTCCAACCTTAACACTTGGCCAAGAACAATGAGCCCCTTCCTTCAGCACAAAAATAGCATGCAGGAATTACAATGCACACAGATATCCATTCGTGCAGGGATATAAACAGGGCTTAATTGGTCCACGGTGTGTGACCCATTCTGCTGGAAGTATGGGATTGTTCGCTCACGTGTTTTTGCCATTTAAAAATAGCCATGCACACACCCGATTATTTCACATCAAAGCTGTATACACTGCAAAACAACAACAACAAAAAGGATCCCCTCTAACCGACGGGCCTCCCTGAACTCCTGAAACAGCCAAATCACACAGAATTAGGAAATGGCTCTTTTCAGAGGCTGATTTAAAAATTTGACAAAAATTGAATACAATCATTTTTTTCTTTTCTATCTTTCTATAATTTGGGTTCATGTTTCATTTTATGGAGAAAGAAACTGTCCTACACCCCACTGTGCAAGGAAGGCAGATTCACCTTTCATGGAGTCGGCGCTCAGATTCCTTCAGCTTGGTTTTGAGGTGTCTCACTGTAACCTCTTTCTGCTGCAGAGGAGTCAAATACTGCTCTGGGTTTGGGGGTCTGACACCATGATTTTCACCGCAAGACATGTACCTTCCGGAACGCCTGAAACAATCCAAGTAATGAACTGTTACTTTTTGCCATTTCCTTTTCTATAAAAAGAAGAGTAACACAGAGTGTTATCAGCTGAATGTTTGTGTCCCTCCAGAATTCATATGTTGAAATTCTTACCCCAATATGATGGTATTAGGTAGTGAGGACTTTGGGAATTAGCTCATAAGGGTGGAGCCTTCATAAATGGGATTAGTGCTCTTATAAAAGGAACCCCAGAGAGCTTTCTAGCTTTCTTTTTACACCCTGTGAGGTTACACTAAGAGGTGAGCAGTCTGCAGCCCAGAAGACAGCCCTCCCCAGAACCATACCTTGCTGGCACCCTGATCTCAGACCTAACCCTACAGTATGTAGCCCATGGTTCTCGAAAGATATGGACCAATGTCTAGGGTACTTTGTTATAGCTACCCACATTGACCCAGACACAGCTAACAGCTTGAGAAGGAATGGCAGCTATGTGCTGGGGTCTTAAGCCTCAATAATGGCTGACATCACTTCAGAAGGTGAGCTGTAATAGAACTGCAGATCTTAAGACTGTTAATTACTTTGAAGATTGAAGGCGGTATTGGTGTACTTATGGAGAGAATAGGGACAGTGGAGGAGGAGAATTTTCTATGGCTTAGGAATGTTCTCATACAAAATAATGCACCATTGTCCAGATGCCTGAGCTGTCAGTTCAGAGTAACAGGCAGCACAATGGGCAAGGGTCAGGGGATGGGCCTGGGCAGAAGAGAAGGAAGCAAGCAAGATGACCTAACTTTCCGCACAGTGTGCCACTGCCTAAAGATCCTGATGGCTATTTGCTGAATGCAAGTTGTTCTAAAATCAATCCCTGCTGTGAGTATGCCAGTTTGGAGGAAACGGAAAGGTCCTTCTTCTGAAGGGGAAAAGTTTCTTCCTCTACTTAACTCTCCCCAATGTGTTTTGTAAGAGAGGCTCAATGTTTTACAAAACAGCCCTTGCTGGAATCTTGGCCCCTCTCAGGCCTGGCTGGGAGCTGGGCATCTCTGCTGTAAGAGAGCTGACTGACGAGAATAGGGATGCCCAGCAGGAAGAAGGCTGAAGGAGGAAGGCGGCCAGCTCCTTCCCTGACTCTGGACCCAGTCCCAGCCACCGTGCTGCCAGCTCCCTGAGCACCTGCCTGCCTCCAAGATGACCTGTGTCCATGCCCACCATCCAGTCCTCCTGTCATGGCCTCTTTGGAAATGCAGTTCCTTCTTTCTGCTCCACACTCCCTACAACCTCATATGAATTAACTTCTTGCTTGCTCTTCAGACCTCAATTCCACTTCACTTTCTCAGGGAGGCCTCCCCGGATCGCTCCAGACTGAGTTGGACCCCTCCCCACCTTTCACACACCCCTGTAGCAACAGGTGCCTACAGAATCATCTTAAGTTGTTTTTGTTTGTTTGTTTGTTTGAGATGGAGTCTTGCTCTGTTGCCCAGGCTGCAGTTCAGTGGCGTGATCTTGGTTCACTGGAACCTCTGCCTCCCAGGTTCAAGCAATTCTTCTGCCTCAGCCTCCTGCTGCTTCTGTGGCATTTTCTCTCCCTATCCAGGAACTGCTTAGATTGCTGCGCCTTGTTAGAAATTGTGGCTTGTGCTCTTTCTGCAGCAGCCCTTGAAGAATCAGCCAAATGTCGGAAAGAAAAGTGCAGTGTCTTGTTGTAGAATCAGGCAAGGGATCAAGAGTTGTATAACCCTTATTTTCTTTTTAAAAGAAAATCTTACCAAGTAGGACAAACTAAGATGCATGAATTAAGCAGGACTCACCTCATGATGGGGCTACAGTCGCTTCCTTTGTAGGAGCCTGAATTGCTACTGCTTGGGGAAGAAGGTGCATAACTGGGATGGATATTGACAGGGCTCAGCTGATTCCTGCACAGCATGGACAGAAGGTCCTTTTCCCGCGGGGATGATGGGCTGCTGCCAGGCTTGTGTGACGAAGCTCCATTACTCCGCCCATGAGGACCTCGACTGGGAAAAGCATGAAAAATGTTAAAATCCTTGGGGCTACAGATGCCCAAGGGCTAATGTCTTACTTCCTAAATCTAAGGAAATCCAATTTATGGAGTTGAAAGGGGCAATACAATTATTTGTGTAGACTTTCCTTCAGAGCGGCCTTCTTCCCACCTGCCTGGTATTTTCTCGCCTTGTGTCATCAGCACAAGCAACCTCTCCCTCTGTTGTTCTTTCAAATAGTTTCTGGCCATAAAGCTTGTTTTGGATTACACCCAATAGCCTGCTAAGAACATACACAATGTAGAATATTGATTTAGCGCAGGTTTATTTTGGACGCTGTTTTCAAGATGTGGTTTTTGTTCTAGTCCACCTGTTTCAGTTTAGAAATATTTGCGTTTGGTTCACGTCAGGGTAAGAAAATTAATGTGGCTCATTTGGAGGATGGGGGAAGGTGGTAGCACATAAAGGAGGAGGAGAAAACAGGGCAGATAAACAGCACGCATAAATGCATCATCGGTAATTTTGATCACTTAAATTTTTTTTTCATTTCTTTCTAGTCCCAATGACTTAAGACAACCTTTGTCATTTAACTGCTGAAATACTGTAACAGCCCCATCTTGGTTCTCCTGCCTCTTGCTTTGCTCCCTCCAGTAGAAGGTTGGCTTGTGGCTGGAGTGGCCTTTCAAAACGGAGTCTGATTCAATGTCCTCCTCAAAGCCTTGCCATGGTTCCCCACTGCCCCCAGAACAAAGGCCAGCCTCCTTAAGATGGTTCACAAGGTCTAATCTCGCCACTCCACCCAACCCCATCCTCCACCACTCCTCCCTCCTCCCTCTGTACTACAGCATTCCAAATGACTTACAGTTTCCTGAAGGATCCATGCTTGACCATCCTTAGGTTTTTGAACTCACAATTTCCTCTGCTTAGAATGTTCTCTTGCTCCCTTCCCTAAGCCCCTGGATACCAGGATATTTCCTACTTTGAGACCGATGGGAACCTACTCTAAAGAGCCTTCTCTATATTCTTCCTTTCCTAGGCCAGTGTAGGGGCACTCCTTAATGCTCTCTAAAACTCTGTGCAAATTTCTACCATTGGACTTATCACATGGCATCACAACTGCATACTTATTTGTCCTTCCTGCTAGCCTAGGGCATCCTTGAGGGCAGGAACAGCCTGTTCTTTCTACCCTCCTACTTTTGATACATGGTAAGTGTTCCCTAAAGGACTGCTAAATAAATAAACCAGGTTTGAGTCACTGGCACTGCCACTTAGTAGGAACTTAGGCAAGTAAGCCACTTAACATGGAGATCAAAACACACACACACACACCCACACACACACACCTTTCCTACCTTCCTCACAGAATTGATGTGAAAATCAAATCAAAGAATGCATGTGAGTACATTCCACAAACTATTAAGGGTGACTCAACTGTAGAGTATTATTAGATGATAAACTTGTTCAAACTTCACCGTTAATCCTGTTACAGAGATTTGACACCCACTAGTGTAAGGAAGCATCTTGAGAATGTTGAAATTACTTAAACAGGATAAAAATTCTATGTCAGGAATATTACTTGATGGCAAAAAAAAAAAAGAGAGAAAACAAGATAGCTTTCATATAGTAGTACTGCTTTCTGACAATCCTTTCTTTGCAATTTTAATTACAGCTGTATCCAACTGACATCTTAATGAGAAATGTGTGTAAATGTGAATGCAAGTGTGCGTGTGGGTATACTTGGCTTTGAAACCATGATTACTTATTTACAATCAAACATAATTTCAACTGGCTGTCAACCTTGCAAACCATACATAAATAAAACGTAACCCAGTTCTAAAGTTAAAGTTCTTTCCTTTTGAAATCATCCAAATGAATGCCGCTCTTCTCTTCGTGAGGACACTTTATATGGAACAGATGGGCTGATGGCTTTGTGACAAAACCAACTTCAGCAGCCCATAGTAGAAAGAACTTCATGAGTAGCTGAAAGGAACATGTACCCTGGTGTGCATTTTCTTTTCTATGCTTCAATTCTAAGTCTGGCATCAACCAGACTAGTTCTTAATCTGATTATGAGAAATATGGACGATTAGCTATTACATGTTAGGCGGGAATGTAAAGAGCTGTCCCATATTTTGACCTGGGGAATTTTATTACGAGTTAACTGCCACTGAGGACCTTCTGTGACCCTAGCACTGTTTCGGGTGCTTTCTGAATATTGATCAGGAAATAAATTATCAGACAGCTTGTAAGAGCTAACTTTTTAAAAAGAAGCAACATGCTTAAAAATATCAGTTCTCTTCATTTAGTAGTTCAAATGCTAACATATATAGGTGCAAACTCATTATAGGCATTGATAGGAAACATTTTCAAAGGAGACACTGAGATTCCATGTTTGTCATGGCCATGAACCGGCAAACCCAATGCTGTCCTCTTCAGCCCATCCCAGATCCTTTGGTCTGGTGGACAAGAAAAACGCAGTCCACAAAAAGGAGAGAAAATTCTGCTGACCTTGAACCCTTCTACAAACCTGAATATGTAACTAGAAGGTCAGAGACAGAGGAGTGTAGAAGAAACCTCATGAGTGACTCAGGTGAATTTCGATTCCCTGACCATGGCTCTGGACTTCAGGTAATATCATTGTTATCACCATCATCATCACCACCATCATCACCATGATCTAGGGTTGAACTGTGTCACCCCCTGCAAATTGGTATGTTGAAGCCCTAACTCCCAGTACCACAGAATAACGGGGCTTTTAAAAAGTGACTAAGTTAAAATGAGGCAGTTAGAGTGGACCCTAATCCAGTTTAACTGGTGTCCTTATACAAAGAAGGAATTTGAACAGACATAAACAGAAGGAAGATGATGTAGAGACACAGGGAGAAGATGGCCACTACAGGCCAAGGAGAGGAGCCTCAGAAGCAGCCAACAGACATCTTCGTGTCAGACTTCCCATTTCCAGAACTGTGAGTAAATACATTTCTGTTGTTTAGGCCATCCAGTCTATGGTGCTGGGTTATGCAGCCCTAGCAGACTAATATAATCACCACCACCATGATTACCACCATAACCACCACCACCAGTAGCAGCAGCAACAGCAACAGTACCACATCTCTTAGTATTACTTTCACCCCTACTGACAAAAACCACCTTTTACCAATGCTTTCACTGAGTTCTGGGCATCATGTCAAGCACTCACATATATCATCTCATTTAACGCAGTGAGGTAAGATGCTATTATTATCCCATATCCCAAAACAGGAAACTGAGGCTTGGGGTCATACACCTGATAAATAATGGAGGTTAACCTCAATCCCAGGTCTGTCTGACTCCAAATCCCAAGGGTTTTCTTTTTCTGTCTCATTTTTATCTTCCAAACAGATTCGCGTTTTAGTTAAGAAAGACAATTCCTTAGCAATATCAGCAGAGTTGCCCTTCTATGAGACAAGATAATCTGTACACCTTTAAAATTTTGTTTTAAAAATAACTTGTCAAAAATATTCTCACCAACTCCACCTATTCCTCTCATTTCCCAACAACTGACCAATCTTCCTGTTAGCCTTCCTTCAGGGAGCTAATTCTCCAGAGAGAAAATTCATTCTCTACATGGGGAAGCAGCCAATTGAAAGGATCACAAACTACTAGAGTTTGGCAGGCATAGCCGGCTACTCTTGAGGAGCTGCCCACCCATGCATGGCCCTCCGGAACACAAAATTTATGTGAAATGCCTGAGATAGTCCATGACCAAAATCTACCAATGGTACTCTGTGCCTCGGTGAGATTCTTTTATTTATTTACTTTATTTATTTATTTATTTGAAACAGAGGCTTGCTCTGTTGCCCAGGACTAGAGTGCAGTGGTGCTATCTTGGCTCACTACAACCTCTGCCTCTCAGGTTCAAGCAATTCTCCTGCCTCAACCTTCTGAGTAGCTGGGATAACAGGCACCAACCTACATGCCTGGCTAATTTTTTTTTTTTTTTGTATTTTTAGTAGAGACAGGGTTTCACCATATTGGCCAGGCTGGTCTTGAACTCCTGAACTCAATTGATCCACCCGCCTCGGCCTCCTAAAAGCACTGGGATTATAGGTGCAAGCCACTGCACCTGGCCAAGATTTTTAAAAACTGAGGATAATAGATAGAACACTGCCATTTTTCAATTTTCCATCTATTAATTTTTGTTAAACCTTTGAAGTCTGTTATTGCTTGGCTATAACGGATACTAATATAAGCATTCATCTGATTTGCATATAATTATATTTGGCTATTTTATGTTCAACATATCAAATTTTGATCACTTAAAGAAAGCATGAATTCTAGACTAGAATATTTTCTCTTAGTCACTCTGTATTATTGACACAACCTTGGAATTTAACCACAAACACAAATTCCTTTGAAACATTTAAATTGGCTTCATCTACAGGCCTTCCTTTTTCCTTTTAGCCTTTCTATATTGTTTGATACTTTGTTCCAGGTGTATGTCATAATTTCTTGAATGGGTTGTATAAATGGCTTGTTCTCAGAGCAAGCCACATCTGATGTACACAAAATGTTTACATTCATGTCCTATAATCCCAGAGGCACTTTATTGCCACAATGGGGGTGGTGGGTGGGGCTGGGGATAGAGCAATTGTGCTTTTTTACTGTGGACTTCACTCTTTCATTACAGGTCTATCTGGCTTCAGCTGTATTTTTAATGATAAAACTGTGCCCTGGGGGGTCTCAGGTCACCTTATAAACATCAGCTAAATCTTCGGCTCACCCAAGAGAAATAGAACATATTTGCTTGCTGAGTCCTGGAAAGGTAGGCTTTTGGAAACTAGATTTTCTCCAGGAAGAAACCTTAAAAAGTCACACAGTCCAACTGTCTTTTGGACACCGTGGCCCAGGAGAATCAAGTGACGTGACAAAGTCAGAAGCCAGGTCCCCTCATGTTCCGTGGCTCCCTCCATAGCTTCCTTTAAGTCTCTGCTCAGAGCTCAGTTCATCACTCAGGTATCCTAGGACCTGCCAAGCTAAAATATATCACAAACCACATTACTCTCTATCTCCTTCCCCTGAGTGTTTTTAAAATAATTATATTATTTTTCAATTTATTGTCCTTCTTGTCCTACTACAATGAATATAATTTTGTGGAGTTTTGTTTCCTCATAGTAGATGCTCAATAAATAATTGTTAAACGAATAAACAAAGCCACTGGTGGCAAGCACAGAATCCTGGGGCTTGCAATCCCTCCCACTGAATGTGAATAGTGGCTCCCGTGTTCTCATAGTCCTCTCCACCAATTCAAATAATATCAATGGAGAGCATTGGTTGATGTTTGCTATGCTCCATGCTCTGATTCAGCATTTTACTTTTATTAACTTGTTTAATCCTAACAATAAACACTCTGAGGTGGGTAGGGCTATTTCACAGATGAGGCAAATGAGGCATGGAATGGTTAAACAACTTGCTCTGAGCCACACAGCCTGGAGTTGGTGCTGGCATTTGAGCCAAGGCAGCCTGGCTTCAGAGCCCACACACCCAGCTAGTGTGCTCTATGGGGTGGTCACCATGCCTATGAACTTTACTACACTTTCTTCACTCCTTCCCCAGGTAAATGTTGCGAGTGGTCAGGGAGTAGCTGCTTCCTTCACAGAGGTTAAAAATAGAAGCCCAGCTAGAGGAAAAAAAGGGTGAAGTCAGAGGCTTCACAGCTAAGAGACTCATAGATTCACAGAGAGGGGGTTGGGAGGGAAGTGGGAGAGCACTAGCTTCCTATGCAGATGAGTACACAGGTGAGTGAGGGAAAGAGAGAAGGGACAGAAAGAGGAGTGAGCATAGAGTCAAGGGTTGGATGGGAAACAGCCATGGATGGCTAAACACAGGTGAGTCATGTGACCACAGTAGGCAAGGTAGGAAAAACTACCAATTTAAAAATCACTGTAAAAAAACAAAACAAAAAGCCTAACTGAATAATAAAATATGAACGAACAGTAATCCGGGTAGTTCTACAGATGCATAGGTGCAGGTGAGTCACCTGTGTAAAGCATATTAATTACAGAGCAGGGGACGGTGCCTACTTGCGTGAAGAAGAAGACCGCTTGCTCCCCGCAGTCGACATATGGACCTCAGGAGCGGAAATGCTGCCTGTGCTGCTCGAGGAGCTAAAATCAGCTTCACTACCTGAAAAACAACAGGGGAGAGAGAAGCGTGAGGGAAAGGAAACCGGAGAACACACTGGCCAGTTCCCTGCCTTCCAGGTCCCTGCTCCCTGCATTTGCACACTATTGGCAAGTGCCAAGATTTCAGAGTTTCCAGGCTCACAGAGTTTTCCTCAAAGCAGTCAAGAGAAGGCCCAGCACAAGGACATCATTTCATAAATACAGCTAAGATGCACAGTAAGGCTGGTTTCATATAGAGGCCGGTCTTCCTGCAGACACTGTCAACAGTGACCCAAGTGAGTCGAGAAATGCACTGTTCTCCCGTGTGTGAGGCTCTCACTCCACAACAACGGGCTCACCCTACTTCAAGCAAAAGAAAAAGAAAAAGTAAATACTGATCAGTCCAAGAGCAGTTTTTCCAAGAGAGTTTATCTTTGGGTTTCTGTAGTCAGCTAGTCATACTTCAATTTGGCACGTTAGGTTTGGAGACAGTTAACCAGTGAGAGGCAGTCAGGAAAGAGCAAAGCCTGGGCTCCCAGACTGCCTGCACTGGCACTATCTGAGAACTGACTTTCTCTGACTGCAGTTTTGGTTTTTCTTTAAGGAATAGATCCTTAACAGAAAAGTAGAAATTTAACAGTGATAGAACCTGTAAATTCCACTGAAACTTGGAATTTTAGCTTCAAAGTGGGATTACAGGTAGGGATGTTCATTAGTTTGCAAAGATCACATGGTACTTTGAGTACAGACTACAGTTGGGTGTGTAATTATAATAGAAACATGCTGTGCAGTAAAATAATTTATATAAATTAATCCTAACAAAAATATGTAGTTCTAAAAGAGTGATAATGGAAACATTCTCATACACTGCCTGGGGAAGTGAAAGGATGTGGAAGAGGCAAGCTAGAACAATGAGAAGAAGAAAAAGAATTTTTTAAAAACGTGAAGTACCATGTGCTTTTGAAAAATAAGTCTAGGTATACAGTTTAATCTGACCTTGTTGCTCAACTCCTACAACACAATTTGTGCCTCTTCTGGTCTAGAACCCAGAGCCAGCTCACATTTCTGGGCTGAAGAAAATATGAATAGCCTAAATCCTTGATTTTCTAACAAGCAGTGAACAATAATTATCATAATAATGACTATTTATTGAATGTTTACTAGGTCTCAGGCCCTATTCGCGATGCTTTCTATGCTATATATTATTTATTCTTGACATCTTTGTAAAATAGACATTAATCTCACTGTTTTACTATTGAGAAAACTGAAGCTGATTTGTCTGAAGCTTGTAGGTGATAAATTCTGTCCAGGACCAAATCTTCATACTACTTCTCCCATACTATGCTTTATCCTCAGAAAGGCAGTAGGAAGAAGCAGCGGAACAGGAGAAGTTCTTAGAGAAACTATACATCACCATCTCCCTAACAGGCCAACACGAACCACAGGTACAAGATGTGGCCAGACTTTGGCCTGCTGGGGAACAGATTTCGCTCTCTGATGGGCTTTATTAGTTTTGCTAGAGAGGAAGGTAGGTAATCACAAGGTAGAGAGAAAAAAAAACATCCTTTCCCTGGTTTCCAGGAGCTCTCAGGAACCCCAGCCTCTAGGAAGTCCAGGTCTCTAGGAAAGAGACCGAGAATGACCCATTAGCCAGATGACAGCAGTGACTCCTGGCTCCCAGCAGAATTCTGGGAAGATTAGCATGGCAGTTTATCAGAACTGAGACCAGCTATTCCTTCTGGATTGCACAGACTTTGTCTAATGATGTAATGAGCTCCTAGAAGCTTCCCAAACTTCATCAGTTGACTCTAAGGAATGCACTGGTTAAACTGTAGTAGTTCAATCTCAAGGATTCACGATTGGTAATGGAGTCCAGCAACATGAGATTCCTGACAGCCTAACTCAGCCAGCTTTGTTTGCTAGTAAATTATCACGTTTGTTATCCAATGATAAAGGTAGGCAATTTTCAAAAATAGATCCTGTGGTTACAGCCATCAGGTTAAGATATTATTTTCTAATGTGCAATTATTCCTCTGAAACACTCAGCTTTCATTCCTTTCACAAAAGTCCATCGATTATAATTGAACTGCTTGCCTAAAAGCAGAAATTCTAGAACAGGAACAGATAATTGTGGAAAATCCATTGTTACCCCATGGTGCTTCTGATCTGTGGTAATTACGTTCTGTGAACTAAAAGGACAACTTTGTTCTACATTTTATTGCTACTGGAACTCAATATATTGACTTTTATGTATTTGCAGGGCCTAAGGTCACTTTGTTTCAGCACTTTCCTCTCTTACTTTCTGTACATCTGAAAGAGATTAGAAGGCACAATCGGGTCCCTGCAGCTGTATTCAGGACTATTTGAATAGCACGATAGTGAAAAATGAATATACTACTTCACAACTATTTCAGTTTATGAATTTAAAAAACACAAACTGGTTAATGCAGTGTAAAAATCAGTGAACGCTTTTTAAAGGATACACAGGAAAGCTAAATGTAATACATCATCTGATATACTTCCTTCAATACTAAGCAAAATAACTAAGAGAAAAGCTGGAGACCTAATCACCGCACCCCCATTTATCTATTAGCTGGCAACAAAGGTACAAGGAAGGAGAGGCATTCTTTATTCATTTTCTTTAAACAGTGTATGCAACTAATATATTGTTTTCAGTGCTCTTTTGGGTTATTAAAATCATGCACAGGGTACCTAACCTAAAAACATAGAACCTCGACTGGGCATGGTGGCTTACGCTTGCAATCCCAGCACTTTGGGAGGCCAAGGTGGGCGGATCACCTGAGGTCAGGAGATCGAAACCAGCCTGGCCAACATGGCGAAACCTCGTTTCTTTT